TTCCATTTGTTTTCTCCATTTCCATTTAACATTTACAAAATCAACGAGATAAGCAACTGTTTGTGCGTTTTGCCCAGCGATAATCGCAAATTGCCGAGGCAACAGTGCGATTTTGAGTTGGAGACACGTTCCTTTGTCTGTGGCAAGGTCAAAGACACCGCCAAGGCCAGGCCGGACCACGTCAAGCATCAATTGTCCATACGGAATGCAATTCAATTGCTTTCACTGCACTCGAGTGTGGCCTGTACCTGCCGCTCATTAGGGCGGCACACAGCTTTATTGGATGCTGCTGCGGTTGGATTATGTGTGGATTCCCATGGGCTAATCTCACATAATGAGCGGTCATAGGATAGCTTCATTCACTAGCGAAAACAGAGTCAAAAAGTCAGCAGAGTCAACACTGACGGCCAAAGAGGATAATCCCTTTAGGGATTTCTACAAGTCGCACGAACCATGTGGCCGCAAATCTGTACAGTTTCCGGACATAGCCGAATCGCCAGTTCTTATCTCGAAATGGAAAAAAAAAAAACTAAATAAAACATGAAAACGCAAAATGCAACTGCAAGAAAAGCCGAAACTTTCTCTGCGACTGCGGCTGACAGCCAAGAAAAACGCTGATAAGATTAGAGAGAGAGAGAGAGAGAGAGAGAGACCCGGCACACGAGCTCAACTAGCTCAAAGGCATTATGCCATAGATCATATGGTGCAAGTCAGCACAGTTCGACTTGGCAGCATACCCTACAAAATTGTCATGAAGTCTTCAGTCTACATTTATGTTAAAGCATGTAAATCTCTCTTTACTATCTGAGTCGCTTCAAGCTATACTCTATTTAATCAAGCTAGCTAGTAAAGGGTATTTCAAGTTCGGTATTTCGTTGTGCTTGCTTGTCTTTCGTTTTATTTAATTGTTGTTTTATCAGCAGGCCGCAGGGCAGGGCAAGTTGAATGCACTTGCGAACTAGTTTTGTTAGACACGAAATTTGGCTGCAACTCACTTTTAGTGGAAGAGTTCACAAAAAATAGCTACTTATAAAAAATATATAAGAAATAGCTGCTAATATGCATAAAATACAAATCGTTAGACGCCAAGGGAATGCCAAAAGTGCAGTTCGAATAGTCTCGTGTATGTGGTTGACCTTAATTTCCCTTCTTGCCATGATTAATGAATCGAGAAACAAAAAAGCAGCGCCAGAGTGGAGGAGGCGTCCACTGTGCCACAACGGCCGGAGAAGTTAATGATGCACAATTGAAATCAACAGCGGCAACAGTTGCAGGTACAGCCAATTCTAACCACATATTGTTAAAATAAGCATAATTATGTAATTAAATGTTGTTGAACTAAATGTGCTGCAAATGCCGCAAAAAGCAACTGATGCCATTCAGGCCATGTGGGTGCAAGCGAGAGCACAACAGTTGCACATGCGCCGCAGCTCGGCGACTGTTGCGGATGCTGTATGTGTGTGTGCGTGCTTGTGTGTGTGTCAGCGAATCGCAGCGCGTTATAACTGCTGCAATTCCATGCGTAATCACACACATGCACACATGTGCATTCATTAATTAAAGGCAGCTTTATTTAAGCTCACTTTAAGTGACCATTTGTGACGTCATCAACATAAGGCGCCAAAAAAAAACACTTTTTAACCGTTACAACACTGCCAAGGCCAAGCAATTTGCATATATATAATAGGAAAAAAATTGGGCATAGAAATAGGGCCAACCCGTATGCAAATTGCAAGCGACCCTTAAAAGAGGAAAAGTGCATTCAATGCATATTGATTGCTGAAGGTTACGCTGCTCGTCTTAAGGCACAATCGCATTTGCATAACTTGAGCGAAATGCCAAATAAATTGTACAATTTCCAATTGCATCGCTCCGCGTCTTTTTTTTTTTTTACCTACTAAACGTTTTATGCTCTTAGCAGATTGGTATTTATGGCTTCTATAATTAACATTGGGATCTGAATAAATTTTAAATTTCCAAAAAATAACTGAAGCTGAGCCAAAGGCAAAAGGGTTTCTCATTCGTTTACGGACTAACCAGTTCTTTTTTTTGCTGTCCAGCGCTGTACGCACACAAAAAAAACAACACTCACACACACGCTGACAACCTGCAGCCAGTTGGGCAACTTTAGGCAGTTGAAAAAATGCAGCCGCCACACTTTTTTTATTTCTCCAACATACGCCAAAAAGAGCACAAACTCAAATGCACACATGCACACACGCACACATACACTCACACACATGGACAGGTTACTCTCTTGGGTGCCAATGGCAGCAGCAGCAGCAGCCGCCATATGCAAGACTCACCCACACAGAGACAGACACACACTGACACACAGCGCAGCGCAAAAACGCACACAGTTGCAGACTGCAATAATGACAGCGACGGCGACGTCGACTGCGGCGTCAGAGCGCATAGAGCGAGACAGCAAGAGGGTTGCCAGAGCCGTAGCACAGTTTTGCGGCTTTTCCTTAGCGTTATATGTGCCGAGCACTTCCCCTGCGTGCGCCAGCCGTTGTGCGTGTGAGAGGTCTTCTGTTTTTTTTTTGTTTTGTTGTTGTTGTTGTTTTGTTGCTGCCTGTGTGTGCGTGAAAATGTGCGCGCTGTCTCGCTCGGGAAATTTTGTTTTCAATGACTTGCTGCATACGAGCGCCGTGGCAGTTTTATTCAAGTTTGAGCGCTCGAATCTGCAACAACGTGCCACGCAAAAATTCAAAACGCAATTTCGTACGTGTCGCAGTTATTTTGGGCACTCCAAAAAAAACACAGCAAAAATTAGTCAAAAAAAAAAAATTAAAAACATAACACACACACTACTTGGATAAACTGCACTTCGGATGGTTTTCGTGTCTTTGTGCGTGTAATTATCGCAATATTGTTAATTAGAAACTTATTAGCAACAAAAATACTGCAAATTTTCTTATTGACTGGTGACAGTTTCTAAGAGCTTAAAACCGAATGAAAATAACCAACGGAGTTCAACGAAAAGTTTAATTTTTGAAAAAACGCAAGCAACTTTTAAGTTTATAAAATTGTGGAAATCTTAAAACAATTTAGTGCCATTTGCAATTGAGCTGCAGCTGCGAATTATTTGTACAATTTTGTGGTAAGATATATAGTTGAAAAGAATTTTAATTTATGCACTTCGATTTTATTGCTGCAAATATTATTTTGTATTTCTGTTATATTGTTTTTATAACAAAAAGTTTAGGCCTTAAATGCCGCAACTAAAACCTGGGCTACGTGTAAAAAATTAACAAACAGCAGCAATAAATATATGTCTGGTATATAAACAGCAAAAGGGCACAAAAAATAAACTGGAAAATCCGAAACCGGTTTCCAAGTGCATTCGTTTCAATGACGTTCGGCTTATCATATTTGAAATTGTAAGCAAACAAAATGGCGACCGCTGTTAAAGCGCTGTTAACCAAAAGCTCGCAAAAGCTTTGCAGCCATTTGGCGATCGCGTCGTATGCGCAACGCCACAGCCACAGTATAAGAGCTTGCGGCCGCAATATCCCAAGCGAGGCGTTCATGCGATCCCATTCTGATCCCATTATGCCAGCTACCTGCACACCATATCAATTGCTGTTGTTGTTGTTGTTGCTGTTGTTGTTGTTTAGGGATCGTTTGAGACTCGGCAGGTTGCGCGTTCTTGCCCATTATCCGCTTTGGACGGACAATGGAGCGAGCACAAAGGCGAGCGTCTTGCGCATTTTCCGCACTTCAAGCTGCAGACAATGCAGGTCGTTTATTTTTCCGCCTATTGTCTGTTTGACATTTCCCCTGTTGTTCGTTTGCCATTATCCTGGCAATTTTTCTGCGACGCACTGCGATCGGGCAAAATTGGGGCAAATATGCGCACATTTACCTGTTGGCTACCTGAGGAGCATTCGTTCCACGAACTCCATCAGAAGGTCGTCTTGGCTTATTGGCCGCAGTGCAGCGCACGCGACACATGGCGTCGGCGGTCGCATGTCCAACATATGCTGCACATGGTCATAGGGCCAACATATGGTGACCACTCGAGCGGTGGCCCATGCCAAAAACCAAATTTTTTTTAACGAGTTTCGAGCTGAAATACGAGCATTGGGACGCGGTTCCAGTTAGAGCTACAACCACTTCGCGGCTGCAACGCGCTTAGGACAGGCAAACGCACACACACACACACACGCACGCACACCCTCGCCCTTACCAAGGAAAAACAGGAAAAACGAGCCAAGAATAAATACAACAACAAAAATGAATGAAAACTCAGCAAAGCAAATTATTGCAAGTTTTTCAGTTTCGTTTTTTTTTGTTTTTATATGCGTGAACGTGTCCGTGTGTCTGTGTGTGTGTGTGTGTGTGTGTGTGACGCTTTCCATTTTCCAGTTCGCATATAAAAAAAAATATGTAAAGTAAAACGCGCGAAAAGCAGCCGGAAAAATACGCGCACACGTTTTCCGAGGGATGTTTGCATATTTTCCCCCATTTTTTATCCGCGTATTTCTGTCACCCACCCACCTACCGCACCGCCCCGGTTTCCACTTCCCCCGCTCTCTTAATATTTCGTCCCGTTCTCCATTGGCAAAAGGCGCTTTCACTTTTTATGGCGCATAAAACTTGGCAGGGTGGCATTTTGGGCATAAATTTAAAAAATAAAGAGAAAAAAATAACGTAGATTTTCCGCCAAAAACCAACGAAAAAAACTTTTGCAATGAAAATGGCTCAGGAAATTTAGGGCCGACTGGGAGGATGCTGAGCTTGGAGGATGCGTAACCATGCCCAAATACACACAACATTTTCGCACACCTGCCTGTTTTGTCAGTGGGATGAGGAGGGGGTGGGGGTGGGTTGTGAGGGGGGGGGGGGGTGAGTTAGGTGAGAAGATTAGGCAGAGAGGTCTTGAGCAGCATATTCCATTCCCATTTCCATATCCAGTTCCATTGCCAATTTTCATTTTGATTATAGTAACCCATGCGAAATTCGCTTCAGGTTTTTTTTGGCATTTCCCAAATATCTGTGCAAATCCTTAGGGGCATTAGGCAAATCAGTTCCTGACTTGGCAGCAGCAGCAGCAGCAGCATTTTAATTGTAACGAAAACGCTTCACATTCTCCTTCTCTTTCTCTCCCACTCTCTTTCTTTCTCCGAACAACAACAGGCAACTGGTGAACCGTAAGCCTTAAGCTGGCGCTCAAGGTCAGAAAGCACCTCGCCTCATACTCGCCCACACTGCTGAGCGCCGCGTTCACCAGCCTGAACAGCGCCTATCACAGCAGCAGTGACACCGCACCGGACGAGGAGCCGGAGCCCAGCCTCAGCCCAGCGCACCGCCAACGCCAGCGACAGCGTCAGAACAGCCACAGCCACAGCCAGAGGGATCGACACAGCGGCGACATGGGCGGGCCGACGCCAGTGGCCGGCAACGAGGGTCAGACATATTGCCTGCGCTGGAACAATCATCAGACGAACCTGGTGCAGATACTGCACGCCCTGCACGAGGTGGGCAGCTATGTGGACTGCACCCTGGTCGTCGACGATGAACAGTTCAAGGCGCATCGCGTTGTGCTCGCGGCCAATTCGCCCTACTTTCAGGCCATACTGCAGGAGGTGCCGCAGGATCAGTGCAGCATCATACTGCCGGGTGTGAAGGGCTTCGAAATTGCCGCCCTGCTGCAGTACATGTACACGGGCGAGACGACTGTGACCAAGAGTCAGGAGCCAGAGATATTGCGCACCGCCAAGGAGCTGCAGGTGAAGGGCCTCTACGACAATCTCATGAAGTTCAATCACAATCACAAGGCATCCGGCAGTCCGGTCGAGGAGCGCCCACACAATCATCAGTTCCAGGGCAGCACATCCGGTGCACATCCGCATCCGCATTCGCATTCGCATCCGCATTCTGCCCCTACCTCCAGCTGTTCCAGCAGCAAGCCGCTCAATGGCGCCGGCACTGATGGCTCCTATGGCACGCACCATCATGGCCATCACAATTCCTCCTCCGTGATCTCAACGTCCACGCATATATCACCCAGTGCGGCCATCTCGAGCAGCTGCTCGCCGCCACCCCCGCCGTTTGGCTCGTATCAAACGCCCTACACGAGCTTTCCGGCCTCCAGCGGGGTGCCCATCAACATCAACGCTCACATATCCGCCGGCGAGGCACCGCTGACGCCCACACACTCAACGCCCCATCCAGCTGCCGGCGAGGCTGGCCAATGGCCGCTGTCGCCCTCGGCCGCGGCGGCGGCAATGCTCAATTCCGTGTATGAGTCGGCGGCGGACATGAATCCGCTCAAGCGCAAGAAGCTGTCGGCCATTTCGAGCATGCTGTTGAACACCACACGGGACACGCCCATTCTGCGCAATGTGCTCGCCCAGGCTAATCCGCCGGACTCCTCGCAGCCCAATCCCCAGCAGCTGCTGCTGCCCGGCGTCAAGCCAGCCGCCGAGAAGACACCTACACATCAGCATCAGCATCAGCATTCGCATCAGCTGGGCAGCGGCAGCGCTGCGGGCGCTGGCAGCCACAGCTTCAATGGGTCCGACTATGGCGGCGACAAGGAGCCGTTGTCGCCGCACACGGATCGCTCCTTCGACGAGGAGACAGGCGGTCAGGGCGGCAAGAAGCCGGAATGGAAGCGCTACAAGCAATACACCCGGGCGGACATGATGTGCGCCATCCAGTGTGTGCGCGAGGGCATGAGCGCCCTTCAGGCCAGCCGCAAGTTTGGTCTGCCCAGCCGCACGTTGTACGATAAGGTGCGCAAGCTGAACATCACCACCGGCCGTGGCACCCATCGCACGCCCAAGCGCAGCCCACCTGGCGTCGGAGGCGTCGAGTCGTCGGCCGCATTCCCCTATTCGGCTGCGGCCGCAGCTGCGGCGGCTGCTCACAACTACGGCCAGACGGAGCTGGAGCGCGAGCCGAAGGAGCACGGACATGGCCAGAGCGCTGGGCACGCCCATGCCCATGCCGGGCATCATGGTATGCCGCCCACCATTCCGCATTCGGCTGCTGCGCTGCTGGATCACGCCTTCCTGCAGCAGGCGCTAGAGAATCGTGGCGGCGATATTGCAGGTCGGGAGGCGCTGCACGCCATGGCCCTGGCGGCAGCCGCACACGCGGCAGCCAATCGCATGTCCAGCAGTCCGCCGGGCTCCAATGGCCATGCGGCCCGTTCGCCCAGCCACTATGCCGAGCAGGAGGCGCTGGACAAGCACGAGCATCGTCATATCAAGCGCGAGGCCATTGAGGAAGAGCGTGACGCCGACGACGAGGATGATCACGACCAGGTGGAGGATCTGTCGCTGGCACGCAAAGAGCGTCCCGAGTCACCCTACTCGCCGCCCCCGCCGCGCGCTGCCTCGCCCATGGAGAGCGCCAGCGTAATCATGCACTCCAACTCGGCGTCGGTCTCAACGAATGGCAAAGAGGCGCACGAGCTGGAGCCAGAGCAGGAGCAGGACCACGAGCTGGAGGACTACAGCGAGGCGGCATCGCCAGCATCGCAGCCCCTGAGCATGGGCGTGGGCCTGAAGCGCGAGCTCCTCGGCAGCGACGAGGCACAGGCGCGCACCGACTGATTGATGCTAACGATGGCCTGGCAGTATGCGGCCGATAGCCACGATTCCATATTCTAGGCCAATCCTTGACGCAACCAAACCAACCCACCAACCCACCAACCCACCCATTTTACTTACCACACTCTGTGTATATCCCCATCCATTCGTTTCTCTGGTTCGGCGTACAACGTGCAAACTTATTTGTTGTGTTCTCATCATCGACATGCCTCGGCAACGATTTAGCGGTAGTGAAGCTTTAATGACCCATTCTATCCCGGAATACCCACCCCGGCACCGACCCGCAAGCAGGGCAAGAGACAAAAAAAAAAAAAATCAAACATAAATATAAAAGAAAAACTTGTTGTCAGCATCACTTTGTGCCTAAAAGAAATAGAATTATTCACATTAAAATAAATAGATTTAGATATATATGTTTATCGGCTAGTTTAGGCTTAGGCTAGACTTACGAGCACCCACACAGACACACACACAGATACACACACACACACGCATAGGCTAGGCAGTGTTAGGCCATGGTAAGGCTTATGTCGCATAAGACTGATCAAAAGTGGGCGTGGCAGAGCAAAAGAGGCTCAGTATATAGAGTATATATATATATAGAATCGTTTCGTTAGGCATAGCATTTGAGAATGGATCTTGGTTAGATCAACAACAAGTTAGCAATACTTTGTACAACTATCTTAAAATGCCAGTGATTTGTTTTAAAACTTCTTTAACGCTAGATAAAAGCAAACAGCTCTTTAGTTTATGTTTTGTTTAAATACCATACTGAATACAGAATGTATTTCGAGCTCCATTTACCTAGAACCGAACTACCTCAAAAGGCTCAAAAATCGATTGGTATATTTTACTAGTTAACTCCTATATATACATATATATTGCTTTTTTTTGTTACATTTAAATCTAATCAAAAAATTGTCCTGGGTTGAATTTTATAAGACTGACACCGACTCACACATACACACACATACGCGCACACACACACATGCAAGCAGGCACAACATTTAAACCCAATCGAATGCGTACAAAATTGACTAAGCGAATTAATTAATTGTAAGCTTAATTGAATTGTAATTAGAATTTTAGTTTATAGTGCAAAAATAATGCAAAAATCAAACAAACATGCGCTGGGGGCAATGCAATAGGCTCTATATAAGTACACATAAGTATATGCAAAAACTTATTCTTACACATACGATAAAGATATATATATATACATATATACATATATATAGCTATAGCGTTAATTCATTTGTTATACAATTCTAGAGTAAGCGTATCGATATGAGAAACAACAATCCCTGTGTACATAATATGCATAAATAATTGGATGCAAACCAAGTATTTTGCCGTTATATAAAAGTTAGTGTTAATTGAAAATTTCTTAAATATTTGTAACTACAATTGCAATGTGCAAATCATAATTAAGGCAACATTTTCGGTATGAATGCAAAATAAAAATGACTGAAGATATATCTACACATATATGAATAAAAGAACACATATGCTTTGTTTCTATACAAATGAGATCTGAATTCCGCACGTTAAGGGTTTAACAATGGTGAGCTCATATTTATTACAACATTTACAATTCGAATATAAAAATATATATACACATTTATATGTCTTACATCCAGGAGATATGCATCAGACTTTAGCTAGCAGTGGTTGCTTAGCACAGAAATAAATTGAATCATACTAGTTTTATACACATGAGACTATAAGATGACTTTGCTCAACGAGCAGATACCCTAGAACCAGCACTCTACAGGCAGCCCACACAATTGGGCGGATTGCGATTGTCGAACTCGCAAATGCCAATGGCAAAACGGAAGGGTTTATGATTTGGCAAATGCCTGGGCCGATTGGATATCCACGGCATGTGCGGTATGTTCAGCACGCGCACCGTGTACTGCTGTGCCCGGTCTGGTTCTTTGTGTACGGGATTGATAATGGACAGCTCGTGCTCGATGCGTATGAGGGGTGGTTCATCGTTGGGGCTGTGCCGCTCGTGCTCGCAGTGGGCCAACAGCTTGGCCTCGCTAAGAAACTCCAAGCGGCAATAGTTGCAGTAATAATTGATGCCCTTGCTGTGCAGCACCTGATGGCGATCCAATTGATGCTGGAACTCAAACTCATCGTGACACTTGTGGCATATGTAAACGCCGCGGTTTTGCCGATGCAGATGATAGTCGAGGAAGACCCTGCCAGGTGTCTCAGAAAGTTAATGTCTCAATGATAATAGTAAAATACACGTTTCAGTCCACTCACTTGCTGGTGAAAACGTCGCCGCATTTGTGGCAATAAAACCAGCTCATCTTCCAGTGCTGCATGTAGTCGTGCTTCATTAGATTAACTAGCGTGTCCGTTTGATAGCAGCAGGTGGGCACAAAGCACGAGAAGGCCTTCAGCTGCACCTGCATTTTAAGCAGATCCAGCAAGTAGAGATCATACTCCTTATCTGTGGTTATATGCGACTCCTCCAGCACATAATCATCGTACAGCATGGTCAGATTTAGGGCGCTGTTGCTGTTGCTGCGACTGTGGTTAACTATCCAATCGCCGGTGAAGTTCATGCGCCTTGTGTACATCGTGTCCGCTATGGAGGTGGCATCTTCGTCGTCCTGCTGATCCTCATCCGTCTCCTCATCGCCCAGTTCACCATTATACCAGGCCACCGAGCAGGCACGCGACCGCGATCGTGTAGATCGAGGCTGTGTGGGGGATTCTTGCATTTGCAAAGCCTACGATAGAGCGTTTTGATTGATTGATTATACCATCTAGAACATCCTGTTTTAGAGTACTTGCCTCTTGCTTGGCACTGCATATGGTATGGTGCAGCTCCCACTCGTATTTCGTGCCGAATTCCGCCTCGCACAGGCTGCAGCGATGCTGGTGGCTGATACGCTGGTGTTGCCGCAGGGCCACGCTGCCAGCGAACTCCTTCTCACAGCTCTGGCATTGAAAAGTATGCGAGTGTCGTGGCGTTTGCGACAGAGCCTGATCCCCATTATCGTTCTCGTCATCCTCCTCATCGTTGCCGGCTTCATTGAGCACTCGACACTTGGGACGACGCTGCGTCTGGCGGCGCCAACAACGGCGCACGTGCAGCGTATAGTGATCCTTGCGAGAGTAGACGCGCTCACAATACTGGCACACCCGCCGTGTGCGCCACTTCCAGCCGTCCAAAGCGTTGCCGCTGTTGTTGCGCAGGCCACCGGACTCTGTGGCGGAGGGAGATTCTGGTGGTTGGGCTGAGTACGCCTGCAGCACTGAGCACGACGATGCAGTGGACGTGGGCGAAACGGATCTAACTGTCCCGGTGCCATCCTCCTCCTGTGCCAAGGGCACCCCTGTCGTAGATACCTCAGCATCGGCAATGGGCGGACTGTCACATTGCCTACGCTCCACCGGCGTTTCAGCCTGTGATTTCGCCGTGACGGTCAGGCGCTGCAGCCGCTGCATCAGCGTGCGTGTTACCTCCGAGTGCATGTTCAGCTTGCAGACGCACTCGACGCATATGGCTCGCAGTGTTGTCTTGACTATGTCTGCCTGCAATTGTGCACCTATGAAGCGAAATGGACGCTAGGTATCTCTGGCTGATGCCACTTACCGACAGCTTCCAATCGCGGCTTAGACGTCGCTGCATCACACTGTTGGCCGTCAGGTCCAGCAGGGCGGATGACGAGGACTTGCTACTGCCGCAAATGGTGCACACTTTGGCGTTGCCCTCCAAGGCATCCAGTTGCGTTGCGTTTGCCAGCTTGCCGTTGCTGTTGCTGCTTGACTCGGGCTCCTGAGCAGCCTGCATGTTGCAACTGGCATTCGACGCACTTTGAAGTCGTAAAACTGATTTCCTTAGACATAAACTACATGTGCGCCGTTTTACAAAGTCATGCTATAGCAGCAGGATTGCCAAACAGCCAACAAACTTGTTTATTTGCTATGTTTATTACTATTATTATAATTTCATTGGTTCTTCTTTAGTTAAACACTTTTGTTCTCCAATTTTTTGTCAGTATTAAGTGAATTGGTAATATTATGTGCTTTTTCGCACTTTCTAACACTGAACATGTTCGATAGACGCATAACAGCCCTGTTTCGCATATCTATGCAAAGTGTAAACAATTTCAATTCATTTAATTTGAAATTCTTGAAAAATGGATATTATGTCTGCAGCTAATCTTTACCTACGTCAGATAGGCGAGCAGCGGCCAAGCATCTCGGATCTGAAGCCCAGCATTTTCACAACAGGCGGACCAGAGCCCAGATCACTTGTTGAAATTTCTGGCAAGCGTAGGAGCGGCAAAACTCTTCTGCTAATGCAGCTGATGGCAAACTGTTTAACACGCTGTGATGTCATACTAATTAATATTAACCATAAAATCGATCTTCAGTTACTTGGTAAACTTTTGCAGGACGCGGTCAAAAATGCCAACCCACAAGCAACATCCGTCGAATTGCAAGAGATCTGTGAGAAGTGTATGGACTCATTGGAAGTTATTAATTGCTTTTCATCCCTGGATGTTCGCATGGCCATAAAAGCTCTAGATCATCATATTCTGCTTGATAACGAGAGGGTTAGCCTAGTTGCCATAGACGGACTTTGCGAATTCTATTGGTTTGACTTGCCGCCAAATGTGCCCATGCGCAAATATACATACTATATGAATTATCTGGAGCGAATACACAGGATCTCAAAGAGATTTTATGTTTGCTGTATGTACACAGTGGACAGCAGCTATATAAAAACTTCACACGTGCCTTCCAGAGCGATAAACATAGATCACAAATTGCAATTAAACTGCTTTAAGGGCAAACGAGCGCTGAACAACAAAAGAATTGTCATCAACGAGAGCGGTATTCAGGTTGTGGATTAATAAAAGCATTTTTAAAAATTGCGCGTCTTTTCATTTCGGCGTTAGTGCTGGGAGCAATACCGATAATTTTCGTGTATGCAGCGACGCACTGGAAGACGATTTCGATAGCTATCAGAATAGGCCACATGTTATCGGGATTTTTAATACTTGGTGACATCTCTGGTTTTTCTGTTCGACGCGACGAGAAAACGTGCTAGTTTTTCAGCAGCCCGATTTATAAAATAAAACAAACGAAAAAACGTAAAAATGGGTGTACAAGTTGTTCCAATTTCAGCCGGCGATGGTAAGCAAATAAATATTTATTCTATTTGATTTATGCTTTCCTAACCCTATTTTTGCGGCTCTGATAAAAAAACGAAGTATTTTTCCGCTCTCTATATACATGTACATACATACATATATGCATCTCACTCTCACACGCCTTCGTATTGCAGGCAGTACCTTCCCCAAGAATGGCCAAAAAGTTTCGGTGCATTACACTGGCACTTTGGACGATGGAACCAAGGTGCGTAATTGAATAGCTCAAGCAATAAATTGGTAAATTATATTCTCTTTCAAAATCTTAGTTTGATTCGTCTCGGGACCGCAACAAGCCGTTCAAGTTTACCATTGGCAAGGGCGAAGTTATTCGCGGCTGGGATGAGGGCGTTGCTCAGCTGAGCGTTGGCCAACGGGCCAAGCTGATCTGCTCACCTGACTACGCCTACGGCAGCCGAGGCCATCCAGGTGTCATTCCCCCTAACGCTACCTTGACTTTCGATGTCGAATTGCTCAAGGTCGAATAAGTGGTCGGGTGCAGCAAACAGCCGAAGACCGTGTGTGTGTGTGTGTGAACACCTGCTACACACACACACCGACACAGGCGCACGCACGCATATACACACCTACAACCTGGCGCGCTCCGGCAGTGGCAACAGAACCAAACAAGAACAATCCAACAGCATTTTAATTCTATTCAAAATATAAAGGTGGCCGCTGTGGTCCATGAAATTAGACTTAATTACCAACACAGATAAATGAAAATGGCAAACGCATACAAATAAAGATTTATTCAAGTGAAATTCAGTTTTATTCTCGCTTGCAAACAGCATCCATTATCTGGTCAATTATTTCATAGCGCTCATGCTCGTACTTCTGCGCATGCTTCAGCCAGTGGCTGCGCACCCGCTTCCAGTGGCTCACATTGTCCGCCAGCAGCTCGTCCTTGCTGGCGCCTTGCAGCTTCGCGTCCTGGGTTTGCTGCAGGCGGGGCGGAATTATCGGCAAATCTGTTTTGCGTGCCTGTGGCATCTCCTTTAGGACCTTCAGTTCGCCGCTCAGCAGTTTCGCCAGAATCTCCTCCGCGTCGTCCTCCCGTTTGACTGTTGGATTTGTGCCATCTGTGTTATAAATGGCCACGGCTGGATTGCGCGGCTGGTTGGCCATCCAGGCGCGGCATATCGGGTACAGCGGCGTCTTGTCCTTATACTTGGACAGGTCTAAGCTGCGCTCAAACAAACGCATCACGTACGATTCGCTGTGGGATTTCTGTGCTGCATTATTGCCGTTTTTTTTGTAGAGCGAGCGCTTTGCTTTGGAACGCCCTGAACCAGTTGGTAGCGCAGCAGTTGCCGTTGCCGTTGCCGATGTCGACGTGGTTTTTAATTCTGGTTGCTGTTTAGCATTCAGCTGGGCGCGCTGTTGCTGCTTTTGCAAGAGTAGCTTCTTTGAGGGACGTCCCCGTATGGGCAACTCGGATTCAATGTCGTCGTCGATTTGCAGCATCGGTAGTGGAGCTTCTGATTCATCCTTTGACGCTTCTTTACGGGATTCCCGCGGCCGCAGTGATGACTCCCCAGCAGTGCCGCGTAATTTCTTTGGCGTCACTTTCATGCTGATGCTTCCTTAATTATTTTTTATGATTCTTTCGAATTTTCAAATGTAAACGCAGTGAATGTCAAAAGCGTTAGTGATGGTCACATGGAAAAGTCCACTTATCGAAATTTTAATCGGTTCTGAATTTAACAGTTGTGGGCTGTTAGGCTGCTGTTATTCATGCTTAAGACCGTATTCGGGTTAATCTTCTATCAAGCATGTAAGCGGCTATCTAAATTTCTGTAGTGCAATTATTTTGTATATTTCTATATTAAATGCATAAATACATTAATAGCTGACACAGAGTAACGGAAGCTGTCCAGTGTTGTGCTGTTAGCAATAACAGCACTGTAAATTTTAACATTTTCAACACAGTGTTTTTTTTTTGTTTTTAATTTTGTTGTTTTCTGCTCTCCAAGAAAAGCACGATTGATTGAGAGTTGCTTAAGATTCACGGGACGGAACGGTTGTTGCTTGTGGAGTGCGCAAAGCCATTGTGCATGAAAAAGAATACATAAATTGAAATACAACTTATAGGAATGAATTTTTAATAAATTATTTTAAACAGTCTGTTGTGATTGAACAGAAGTGCTACAATTGTTAGTAAATTGACGTAAAGTCTAGTGATACTTCAGTTACATAAAAAAATAAAAGCAAAACTGTAACTTCACATTTACAGTAAGTTTTGCATTATTGCATTGTATTTCGTTTGTTTTATCAGTTCGCTAGCTAGTTTTGTATGTGTATGTGTACCTTGGTCCGTCGTTGCATTTTGCGTCTTTCGCTCTCGTATTGTTTGGTGCGCTAGAGTAAGCACAGTTCTCTCTCTGCACCACGCACTCACCAATACAGACAATTGTGTGCCTCTCTACCTTAGTATATTACTGCGTCGTTGCTGTTGCTTCTCCCACTCCTATTCCCAAATTTACTTTCGTTTGCTATTTATATTAACGATTTACTGTTACAATGGCAATAACAGCATCACTGCAGCCAGTATCATCAGGAAATCGGTGTGTAAGCAACAAAGAGAGAGAGAGAGAGAGAGAGAGAGAGTGCGCGAATTGACTGAGGGTGAGGGTGGCACACATGTTGACAAGCGTTGGCACATTTTATTTTCGACTCTATTTTAAAAAGTCTTAGAGTGTGTACATGCATATGGCCTGTACCTATATAAAGCCCCGCTATCAGTGCCGCACAACAGTAAATTTGGGAGACTTAAAGCGACAGCAGCAGCAGCGCATTTACCAATCTGGTCCGTCTTTCCGATCCACAGCCGAACAGCTGGGAATATCGTGCCTCGTCGTGTTGTCTCACAAGTTCGCTGAACCTCTATGTATATTTGTATGTATGTTCATATCAAATCGAACTATATCAAAGCCAAACGCTTTAAACAAACACATATGAACATATTTCATAGTATGTTTAACGCATACATATATGCGTGCACATTTTTTTATTTACTCCAATACACATAAGCATCTACATTTGTTGATGTTTAGCAGACGGCGTTTAAGAGTTGAGGATGGCGCAGCCGTTTAAACGTTTTGACTCTCTTTAGCGCTACGTGCGTTTAGTGCGAGTTCGAATCTCGCTCCGCCCGAGCTTGTTGGCTTCTTTGACGACAACTCACGTTACTTGGCCGTAACTACTCGGGCTACAGTAACTTTTTTTATAGTTAACATTGTAAAGGGAAATCTTTTATATAAAGTTTAAATAATAGTCAACCTATTTATTCTTTTTTTTGTCATTATTATTATTAGTTTTTTCAATTGTATGCAGTCCAATGAATGGAGCGTGTGCAGCAGAGTGGGAGAGGCTGTAAGCTATCTGATATCATCAGCGTTTGAAAGTAACGACAAAAGCGCTTGCTCTCTGCCTCTCTTGCTCTCTCTCTCTTGATATCTCCCCGCTCTCGTTGTTTGTTTGTAGTGACGTAATTTGCAGGCACTGCATTCGAATTTCTTGTTTTGGTCTTATAAGAAAAGTGTGCCCAAACTGGTTTTGAGAGCTTCAACTGCGCCGCACCAAAACAAACTAGGTATCTAGGTATGTGTGTATGTGTATCTAAGTATGTGTGTGCAAATGTATTTGTGTATTTGCTCCTGAGCATTCGCAACCGAGACTGAGTGCGTAATTTCCGATATGGAGTAACAAGCCCGTAGAAACATGTTGTAAACAAAGCAAAATCAAAGCTTAAGTATTGTTATTATTATGGCAACGGCCTTGACACGGTTACAACATCCAGTAACAGCAGAAGCAGCAAGAAAAACATAAACAAATGCAAATGCATGTTGTATTTAGCATATAAACGGGTTCGCGGCGCAACATCTGCTACTCGATGGACTTTTGGTCGCTTTCGAAATTCAAATTCGTTCTATTTTTAAACGGGCCTCCACTTTGAAGGTTGCCCACAGGTGACATCATCTGTCAAGCGGAGCAGCTGTAGGAGGGGTTAGATCTGAGCGCTAAATGCACTGAACTCCACTGCGGTTGACTTTCCCCCAAAAATCCACTCGACGCACGCCCACCATAAAAGGTCGTGATCCGTTGTGGGCGTTGCGGGGAGAGGCAAAAAGTGGGTCAACTTTGTGTACATAAACAAAATATGTAGCCACGCGACCGAACCATTAAATGTCCACCCTTTAAATTAAAGAAATTAGTGTTGGGCGAACCGCATTTCGAACATTTTTGTTTTCAATTCAGTGAAGAATTTCGTTAAATCTACATAAATTTAAAATTTGTACTTTTGTTTTTAAGTTCGGGTCGTGATTGTTCGTGTCACGAAAGAATTGATCTCTTTGTATATCCATGATATTTGTGTCTGTTTGTAGAATTTTGGGACGTGCTCCTGTTTGGAGAGAGACGCACAACCATGGGCCAAATTGTTGGATCCATGCAAAGCAATGTGGCGGAGGTGTTCGGCGGCCGACGGAAGCGCAGACGTAGCACAGACACGACTGCGTCCCAGGAGGAGCGCGAGCGGGCGCAACTGGACGCCAAATCGCCGAAAAAGTAAGTTGCTCCAAATGATTCCAGACATAATCCACTAATCCACGGCGTTTCGTGTGCAGAAAGAAGCTGCTGACGACCACACAGTATATATACAATGCTCTGTTCAAGGAGCAGAAGAACTCGGATGTGGCTGTGATGGCATTGGACAAGGTGTGGCATCTGCACAAGGTCTATCTTAGCCAGAGTCCCTACTTTTACAGCATGTTCAATGGTTCGTGGAAGGAGGCGCAACAAAATTTTGTTCACATTAAAATACTCGACGATCGAATCAATGCGGATAGCCTGGACGCAGTGTTTGGCTCCATGTACTCGGATGAAATAGAGATTGAAGTCAAAGATGTGATACCCGTTCTGGCTACAGCCACACTCTTCCATCTGGATGGCATCATCGACAAGTGCGCCGAAGTGATGGTGGACAGCATCAATGCAGAGACTGCCATTCAGTACTATGAGGCTGCCTGCCAGTACGGTGTGTTGAGCGTGAAGAAGTCCACCTTCCAGTGGTTCCAGATCAATCTACTTAGCATTTACAATAAGAATCCTAATCTGCTGCGGCACATATCCATTGATCTAATGACTTTGCTAACTGCCAGCCACGATCTGTACGTGATGCAAACAGAGTTCTCGCTGTACACACTCCTGCGCACCTGGATGTTTCTACAGCTGCATCCTCAGTATGATCCAGAGGATCCTGTGCAACGCGCTGAGGCGCAAAAGACCCAGGAACGACTGGTCAATGCCGGCGTGGAGACGCACACGCCCAGCGTGGATGTTGTTCAATGGACGTACTTTGCTAGCCGCATGGAGGAGCGCTCCTTTCTGGCCACGCCCGAGGGACAGGCATATGTGCCCGTATTCCAGAAACTGCGCACTCAGTACCTGACCAATCACTATATGGATCTGAAGATTATATTCAACGACAACATCATTCCCAAGGAGTGGCTCTACAGGCACATACACAGCCACTGGGATGCCCTGCTGCGCATCGATCACGGCCAGGAGGATGGGTAAGTGACAGTTGACAATTTTTATTGCGAAATTTAAGTCCAATTATGTGTTCACAATAAAACAGGAGTCCGCAGCAGCTGGACAAGGAGCAGTTCTTCGAGAACTGCATGCGCTGCGGTCGTTTGCTGCTCGAGCCTGGGTATCAGAAGTGGCGCTGGACGGGCTTCAACTATGGAATGGATCTCATACTCATTATGGACTCTCGGCGACTGAACATACGACGCCACCATCGGCACGAGCACGAGCGGGTGCTCAGCTTGCAGACGAAACGAAAGTTTATGATACGCACCACGGTCACATCGATTAATGCGCAGCGCCAGCCGGTGTTTACCCAGACGTCGGAGATCACAACGCTCAGCCTGGAAAAGAACGAGGAGGTGTCGCTGATGGTGCTTGACCCAAAGCTGGTGCATCCGCTGCTCATATCCATTAACATGCTGGTCGTGACGCCGCCCAACCAGAGCTTCAAGGAGATTGTGCCGCAGAGCGAGGACTCGTCGCTGTCGGCAACCGCCATACCTATCTCAGAGATTGGGGCCAGCTGCGAGCGCTCCTTGACGCCAGCCAGCGCCGATGATTCAGCTGTTTGTGTTAGCGGCGATTCGGAGGCATCGACACCCTCCTCGCCGTCCATGGGACTTCGACCAGCTGGACGCTTCAGTTGGCCGCGCGGTAATGCGGCCAGGACTAGCGACGGCGAGTCCTTATGTCGTGACGTGGCGTGTTGAGCGCGTTGCACACCGTCCCCTCCCCAAGTCCTCCCCCCATTAGGCACAACCACCTCGTTCTGTTCAAGGACTCGCCACACGAGCCTCGTTTTATATAGTTGTACATTCGTTTCCCGTTGGCTACGACTAGCGTGCTATACATACACATATATATGTATATGTATATATATAAACTATATATACATATAGTTAATCAGTCTACTAACGGTACGCCATATAATTGTATATTATCCCTTAGTGTGCTTTATGCGCCCTTCTATATTTTTGTATAATCGTTTACATTATCCTAGAAACTATTGTAAAATTATTTTCTAACAGATCCGGTTATGTTTTTTTGCACACTTTTTGTGCGCTCGGCACATTGCTGTTAAATATATATATATATATTTTTTATTTATCTATGTAAAGCTCAGATTCTAAGCGCTAAAGTTAAGCAACAATCGAAGTCGAAGAATACGTATTCGAATCACAACTGCTTACAACATTAAATCTATTAACTCTCTCACTTAAAACTCATTGCATTTTAATCAACCTCACTAAATTATTAAATGTGTGAAATATACTCAACGGGATTTTTCTATTTAATTGAGCTTGTGCTGCCCCCAAAGCAAGGCCCTAATATGGTCTGCTGCCATTAAATAAGAGTCCGAGTAGATATAAGCATATATATTCAAATATAAGCATACCGTTTATATTTATCTTAAACAAGTATTAGATTGTAATAACAAAAATTTAAGTTTAAATTGACCAGGTCAAAATATCTATACCCTGCCCGTAATATACAAACAATTTCGCTATTATATACTATAGATACTACGTACGGTTTCCGTGACCAGGTTACTGCAAATAATATATGTTTTAGTAGTAGAACAGCTCTGGGAATTTCGTCTCGTAGACGGGTTTCTCATTGTTGGCCTGCAGTGGGGCTGTCTTATTGTCGCTCAGCGTAATCTGACGTTCCACGGCCAGCGAGTTGAAGAGTTCATTCAGACGGTTTTGAATGAGATCATGCTGGAAATAGATAACTCAATTAGTTAGGAGCCTTGAAAGACAATGAGGAATGGATATACCTTCGGTTCGGTGCGGCGCACCAAATCGTCGAACTCGCCCTCGCGGAAGGTGCGCACAATTTGCATTTGTCGTTCGCGCTGCTCCCGTTTTGCCGCCTCCGTCGGTTCGGCCAGGGCGCGTTTCATTGCATCAAAGTTAAACTCTGGTGCTAAGATTTTTTTGCATACGCCCGGTGAGCTGTTAACGCTGTCCACATCACCATTATATAGGGTCAGATCGGCGGAGCTATTGCGCTGCGTCATGTGCGTGCTAGCCGACTCCACCCAGGAGTGACGATGGCCCGGATTGTCGGCCTGGTTGAGCGAATAAGGTGCACCGGTATTGAGTCGTTGCGCATCCATGCCCGCATTCTGCATGCATTCGCCCAGCGCCAACTTATCGATAGCCAGATGTGGTAAAGACAGGTTTAGATTCTTCGTGGACACCTTTTTGGGTTCCATCAAAGGCGGCAAATAGTAGGCTGCTTCTTCGCGGCGCGCCTCAACAATCTTTTGCGCGTATTCCAGCAAATTATTGATGCCGCTGACGCGTGAAATGAGCACCAGCAGCCCAATGGATATGGCGTGTAGATTGCATCTGTGCACAGCGCCCAAGGTCTCGACAGTGCTGGCCACTTGCTGTATGCTGCAGGGATTAATAGAAGCCGGGTTTAGTTTGGAGTGCACTGGATTTGGTCATGTAACCTCTTACCCCAATATGAACAGCAAGAACTCCTGCACTGTTTCGCTGCACGACATCTCCACAATGAGCAGAGCAGCTGTATTGTAACTAGCTGTCAAGGCATCGACGCGATCCGACAGCGCCATGCTATCGATGAGCGCCTGCATGATGTTTGCGCCATATTTGTGCGTGAAAATTATATCAGAGCGCGATGGCGGCTCCTGGGACAGAGCCGGATACGGCTTTACGCTTACGGTGCTGAGCACCTTCTCGTTTTGGTGGCGATCAAGCAGCGCCTGGAAGATCTGCATGACAATCATGCGCGTGGGATCGTGTGGAGCGCGCGCCATTCGTAACAGCGGTTGCAAAAACGAGGCGGGAAAGGCTTTCTCGAAGGATACTGTGCTGTACTGGTTTCCCACTTTGAGCAGTGACTTGAGCAATATGTTCTGCAGCATCTGATCGCTCTTGCTCTTCTTGGACAGATCGGGCACCGTGTTCATGATAAACAACATGATTTCTATCTTCTGATAGTCCGGATGATGGTTGGCGAACTCGCCGAGCGCATTGATAAGCGCCTCTTGGTACTGCGACTCTTCAGGCGTTATCTCGGTCGTTGTGCTGACGCTTGTGCGCAGATGGGTCAGCAGATTGTTGATAATATCCAAAGCTGATGGACCTACGCTCTCGCCCGCCGCAATCGCAATTATCTTCGACAGCACCACCGCCAGCGAGGTGCGTGTCTTCGGCGACGACTTGAAGTTGCAGTCCAAATGCTGCATGAGCGTCTCCACCACGGTGTACGAGTACTGCGGCTGTATTGATATCATCACAATGCGGAATGTGTGTATGGCGAAGTTGTTGGGCACCCACAGCTCGTGACGATCCAAATGCCTGTAGAAGATTCAAAGGCAAGGATTAATCGGAGATACAGCATGACTTGGCTGATTAAACTCACGTCAAAAGCGGCTTTAGCACGCTGCGTATGTGTCCAAATGAGGCACGTCCCACCAGTTCGCGCAGCACCTCCTCGGCCAGCACAGGCGGTGTCACATTGACGGCATCTTCAATGGGCGTGAGGTCGCCGGACTGGTGAATAAAAAAAAGTTGTCAGTGCTACAATTTTTTACCTGCCGAGTCGGGGAAATGTAATAACTAGTAGGGTATTTCTTAAACATATATACAGTGAAAACGCTGCCAACGAACATCTAGCGTGGCAAAACTGCCAATCCCAATCTTGAATTCGGCGGACGCTCTTTTACTGCTTGTCTCTAACGAGCTTTGTATTTTCTTCAATTGGTCCGTTCTAAACAGCGCTCAGTGTATAAAGCTTAGCTAGACAATTAAATTATGGAATTCGTTACAAATGCAATTTAAATATTCAGAAATTACCGCCAGAAAATTTTTCTTCAGAAACATAACGTTTACACAGAACTTTGTTTGTGTCGGTTATGTATGGGTTCGTAATTGTGTGTTTGTGTTAGGTTTCGTTTCGTTTGCATTAACAGAATATACGAAAACAACAAAATTAGTTTAAGATTGTTGAAGTTGCCAATTTGCTAGGAATACGTTAAGTTAATTGACCCTATTGGCAGCCAATCGACTGACCTGGACCTGGACCCACCTGCATGTTGAACAGAAGCGAGGGCACAATCTTCTCCATGTGTTGGGCCTCCCAAATATTTTCGACCAGGTCGTCGGACACTGTTTTGCGTATGACGCCCTGCAGCCCCTTAATGCCGGCCAGTCGCAGGCTGTCACGCAAATCCTGACTGTCACTGTGGCACATGGACGAGAACTTTGAGATGAAGAAGTCGTAGCGCCGATGATAGGAGGGCGTGTCCTCGTTTATATTCGCAAACTTAACAAACTAAGGGGGGGAAGACCAGTTAAATATATGACAAGACTTTGATTAGGAGCCTCTTACCGAATTTGTAGCCATTATTTTTAAATTCGGATTCGAGTCCTCGAGCAGTTTTTGCACCATGCGCAAAAACGATTCCACAAACAGATTGAGGGTTGTCTGGGCGTGGCAAGCCTGCAGCAGCAGGTCCATAGCCTCCATGGCAATCTCGGCCAACCTGTAAATGCATTCAGTTAATGATATCAGCTCACAGGCAGCAGTTGGTACTCACTTGTAACGTTTGCGATTGATGTCCTTGGTTGCCTTCTGGTAGAGATATTCGCCAATGCGATCCAGCTTATCCGGCGAGCTTAGCGAATAGAACGTCAGCTTCTCCATATTGGACTTGACCAGACCATCTTCGGGATTGACGGGGAATATGTTGTCCACAAGCCGCTTGTAGCGCGGACGCAAAGCGGAGCAGCAGCCGCAGCAACCTAGAACAGCGCATGGGAAGGCACAGCTGTTAGAGGGATTAGGTAGGCAAACGTGTATGCAGCGATAGGTAAACATGACGTCGACGACGACGACGACGCTGCGTCTGTTACGTCGTGGAGACAATCGCCGCTGCGGTTGTGCGTTAGGCAATCGGTAAAATGTGACTAATTAGAACCAACCCCAACTGTGGCTCTAGGCACCGTAGGGGTCGCACCGTTGGACTGGGTGCGTCGGCCATTTTGTCGTTTATCTTATCGCCATAATCGTTGCCATGCTATATGCGAATTGACCTGCATCGCGTGATATGAGCGAATACTATTTTTATTCATTCTCTTTTGCTTCACATCTTCGCAAAATCCCTGTGTTCGTCATCGATTGCTGGTGTCATTAATTTCGGGGTCATGTCACGTCACATCGCGCCGCTCTGCTATGCCATTAAATTGTTTGTTGGGTCCAATTACTCACCAGACATGTTTGTTCAACAGTCGTTACTTTTGTTTTTATCGCGGCGTTGGGTAATAAACGCTGCGATAAAACTATGCTGCTGTTGTAAATTTGTGTGCTCGAATATTGTTTTTCTCTTTCCTTATTTCCATGGAGCTGCCACACAGTCATATGCGGCGGTCTGGCAGCGCTTTTCAAACATGAAGTTGGCTGCGCTGTTACGCTGCGCACTTAACAGCGTTGCTCCTCACTATTAACTGTTACTTTGGTTTAAGTGCGTGGCTCGATATAGCTCGATTTGTTTCTTGTTTTTATTTTATTTGTGCAATATTATTGATATACTTACAACCAGGATCGGTGCATTTCTGTACAAAGCTATCGAAGAACTCAGGCAGTTCAGGTGGTTCAAAGCAGCAGCGTATTAAAGCCATTTGAAATCGTCAAGAATCCCGCTCAAAGCCGACGAAGACAATTGTGTGTGTGTGTGTTTTAATCCATAAAGATGATGTACGTGTGAGTGTGGTACCTTTTTAGCCAAAATCAGCTGTTGACACGTAACGGGCAGAAGGCACCCGTTTTCAGTGCTCTAAGCTTTATTGCTATTTAAGGTACGTATATTTATATGCATGTAGATGTATACAGAGGTTATGCACGTGCGCCGTTATATGATTTATCTGTGGCTTGGTTTGGGAAGAAGATGACACTCTGGCATTTACATAAGGCAGCAAGTGGGAAAGCAACATTTGACATTAACATTAACAAAATTAACATAATGTTATCTTGTTAATCATTTTACATTAGTATCACTGTTTCTTTTAGCGTAATTTAATTCACATTTTTGACAAAATCTTGCAATTAAGTTAATTAGGATGCGTTCACTTTTACACGTCCTTGAAGAAGACACGGCGCAAACTTTGCTGTTAGCCTCAGCAAAAGTACTGAACGAGAAAAGTTTGTACAGAAAATATTTGCCTACAAAAGCTGAGCTTTTCACTTGACAGGCTTCACCAATGAGAGCTTTCATTATGCTTGAAATAATATTAAAAGCTCAAGGGATTTACCAAAGCTTACAAATCCCAATCGCAAGTTGTCGTAGAATACCTATGAAAACTTGTTGATGCATGATGGGTTAAGGGCTTTCACCTGATCGAAGTTACCGTTAGATTGAACACCAACAGGAATGCAAACGTGAGACGTCCACTTGGTTCTGTCATTGCGGCCGTCGAAAAACGTTGGCGCCTTGAAAAAGATACGAATGCTTCACACGACAGTTTCTCGTGCGTTGACAACTTTATTAAAAGTTAAATGGGCTCCTTGCGGAGTGGCGGGAGGGAGAGCGGGGGGTGCCCAGTTGGAGTGGACGTGGGACGACAACAGCTTGGTGCTTTATAGTTTCTTGACCGGTTGACGCGGACGACGACGATGACGATCGATGATTTATTTGTATATTCTGCGTATTTCTCAGTTTTTGATTAATTACTGTGATATTCAAATATTCAAGTGTGTGTGGAAATATTTGCGTGAATTATTTCACTGTTTCGACTGTTTCGTTTTGGGCCCAGTTGGACTTCAGCAGCTACCTGCTGAAACTGCCTATATGAATTGCTTTGTTTATGACACTTGCCAGAATAGTTTCAGTTCCCTTGAGGATTAGCGCTCTTTCATAACTAACGTATCTACAAGACGAATTAATTAGTGAAGCGCCCAGCACATTAATGACTTGTGATAGAGCGCAGGTACACTCAGAAAAAAACGTAGAAATCGAAATTTCTTAAAATGAGATGTCAATGTCGACATTTCTGTAATTACCGATAAGTCCTAACGTGCTTAATTTAAGGCTGTTTTTACCTAATTTTAAAATATTCAAGAATGTTGTTTTAAGGTTTTTACCTTTCATACTAGAATTTAACACTCATTCAGAGAAAAATCTCATAAATGAAAATTTCTTCTCTCAAAAATCTAAATTTCCATATTTACAGAAAAGTCCAAAATTCAAAAGACCCATGCTCCTGATGTTTTAAAGTTTCTACCTTTTATACTAGAATTTAAACACACTCAGGGAAAAATTGAAGAAATCAAAATTCCCTATTATGAGAACAAATATCCAAAATTAAAATTTCTATAATTAGCGATAAGTCATAATGTGCTTAATTCAAGGCTTTTTGTACCTAATATTAGAATATTCAAAATGGACCCATGCTCTCCTGATGTTTTAAGGTTTCTAGCTTTCGTACTAGAATTAAAGGCCATATATTTCTCTCAGTGCAGTGATTATAGCTAGCCGATATCGTGATTGATGAACTAGGGTGTGGTGCTGGGCTGTCTGGGAGGTTGGGTTACTGTTTGTTTGTCTTACGCAGCCAACAACAGCAGCTGGTTGTGTTGAGCGTGTCTGTCAGCTCTGGCTGGCAGAATTTCCATATTTTTCCAGCCCCATCCTCAAAATGCAATCTTAACGAAGATGCAACTGGACAACTATCTGAAGAATGCTTGGGCGAGCTGGTTTCACTTGTTTACATCGCCATCATCAGCCGCACCGACGGCATTAACAGAGCAGCAATATGACGTCTAATTTTTAATTCAAGCCAAAGAGAGCGAGAGAGCGAGAGAGAGAGAGAGTGAGAGCCCGTTAAGAGGGCGAAAGAAATGCCGGCTACCTGTTGCTTCGCTCTCCCTTCTGGCTCTGATTGGCTTACGCTCTTCTGCGGCGGCGGCGCCGAGCTTTAACGCTCACGAACAGAGCTCGAGCCGCAGATCGTGTGGACATTTGGCTTCAGTCGACTTTCAGACGTGACGGTGTTCACCTGGCTGAACTGAAGACGCGCCGTGCGTACTCGTGTGTGTGTGTGTGTTCGCGTGAGATGTTTGCTTTAATATTCACAATTTACAACGATTAAAATATTTATATATTATATACACACACGTATATATATATATATATATATATACAATTCGAACTGGTCAGCGCCGAGCCCTGTTGCTAAACCACCACCCCCCCACCCCTCTAACCAAACTCTGAATTGCAATTAGGAAACCAATAGAAGCGCATTGCGTCTCTGTGTTTCTCTGTGCTTTCCTGTACTAACGAGTATTTGCGATCAATCGCCAACGACCATCGGCACGTCCATTCAACTGCACTCAACCCACACAGAAAAAAAAAATAGAAAAAAATAGAAAAAAAAAAACAAACGACTTTGTGCGCAGTGCAAAAAGCTAAATAAAAATACGGCACAAATCGTGATAAATTTTCGCTTAAATTGTGCAAACGATTTTGGTGATTTCCGAGCTGCTTCTTTTTTTGTTTTCTAACAAAAAACATTTAACAACGACTGCTGGTGTGTGTGAGTGAGTGCAGGTGTATGTGTGTGTAACTTATTAAAATTTGTTGTGCATTCGCGAAACGTCGAACGATTTCAAAAAGATCGAACTACACTCAGCTTGGCAAGTGTAACATTCTTTAAGTGCATAACAAGTTGTTTATTCAACAACAACAACTGCAGCAACAACATTAACTGCTACAACAACAACAACAACAACAACAACAACAACAACAAGAAGGGGCACAAGTATTGTAATTAGAACTGCGCAAATTGCTTTGAACTGCCAGTTTATGAGGTGAGTCGCCGAGCAGATGTGAGCTGAACAGAATTGTAAATACAATTGTCACAAATATTTAACGTGGGCTTAGAGGCATCCGTATGAGCTACAGTAGAGCTACGCTAAACCAGACTTCTAATGCAGCAAAACTTGACCATTTTTCTGGCTCTATAACGCTTTTCCCTCTGTAACCCATATAAATTTATTAAAACAAAAACTAAATCGTAGCTGTACTAAAAATTAAAAAACTTAATAAACACGAGGGATTATGGATTTTTCTTCGCGCTTTGAATAATTCAAACCTGCGGAGGCAAATGTGTCAGCCAAATTCTAATCTTTTTGATCTCGGGGTGAATGCTGCTTTTATGGAGCTAGAATATTATTAAAGCTGTTCCAGTTACACAGACACGCATACGTGTGCGTGTGGGCGTACTTACACTCAGAGAAAAAACAAAGCATTTTGCACTCAAGCTAACGAACAAATGTTTGGTCTGAGAAGGAAATTCATATTTCAAGAACTGGTTTCTTAATTTTAAGTTTCCTTAATGCAAAACTCAAAATGTACCAGAATTCCTAAAATCGACCTGAATTATATTACAATCTCTCTGAGTTTTGAGAGGCTATTGAAAGTAGACACACGTCTTGTGAGTCATATGACATTTGGTGGTTCTTGACTTTTGCGCATTTGCTCTAAATAGAGTCAATAAATTGATTTGAAACCCAGTCAATTGAAGTAATTCGGGGTTCAAAGAGTGCGCGAATAGATTGAAGACTTTCTTTCTGCTTTAAACCATTTGCAAAATAAATCTGATAAATATGCTACCTCTATAAGCTCCAGCTACGTTCACAGCCTTGTCGAAGCTACAAGTTTTAGCGTGTTTAGCGATCGGCGAGTGCTTTGAATTGGGATGCAAATTAATAACCAATTATAATGTTAATAAAAGCTCCACTGTCATTATGACGATAATCATGAACATCGTGGAGAGCTGAGAGCTCGACAACACGTTATGGATGCCCCTCTTAATTTTTTCTGTTTGTGCCTCGAAACGGAAATAGAATTCAGAAGGTCTTACTTACAATGTAAACTATTGGCTTAAAGCTTTTTTAGTGAAAGTTTTGGAAATTTGTAGGGAATGGGCGTTATTTTGATACATTTTCACCTTAATGCAACGACATCGTAAAAAAAAAATCAGCCTGGCTTCGAGTTATCGTATCGATTTCAGTTCTAAGAGACGAAATTAGCATTGCTAATTTGATTGAACGAAATTAAAAATTCGTACAATTTAGCCTAAAAATGCACATAAATTTTTGTGTTTAAATCGATTAGGAATTTGTTATTTATGTATTTGTGCCCAAATACATAAGATATACTTATTTGCTAGAATCAAAAACCCTATGAGTTTAACTTCGATCTAGAACTCTTTCGAGTCTCAAAACGTAAAATTCTTGAATTTCTCCATACTTCATTTGTGTGTTGTTCGAGAAAGTTCAAGTAAAAAAAACATAAATAGAAAATCCTCTCCGAAGCACAAAATATATATATCTAATTTTAAAGAGGACATGGAGCTTGTTGAGGTCACCGAAGCTGCTCCGAGGTCAAACAGAATTCGTGGGCTGCGCGATTCTCTGGTGTGGTTCTTCAGTTTGCCAGCTGTGCAATATGCCCAGGTCTCTGTGGTTGTGCTGGGCGATTTGCTTGCACTTTCGAGTCTCTATCCCTCGCACTCAATGTATATAGCGCGACCATTTCTAATATGGAAATACTAAGGATCTGTGGAAGGATGACAACTATGTGAAATATGATCGACATAACACATAGGGAGACAAAATCTTATGCACTTTTATATATATTTTTATATACGTTCTCTACGTGGGAGCATTTCGAACTTGTTTAACGATCTTCACCTTCAGTTCAATGCCAATGCCAGAATGACGTCATGTTGGTGTTTGTGTGTGTGTGTGTCTGTGTCTGCGTGTGGACTGCATGTAAGTAGAGTGTGTATGTGTGTGTAGGTGTCTTTCGAACGGCTAAACACCTCGCTTTGCTCCGCAGCAGCAGCAGCGGCAGCAGAAGCACGTATCCAAGTCTGGGTCTGTTCCTGTTTTCAAACGCTTCGCCAAATTAAATCGACGCACACATTTTGCGCTCATTAAAACTTTCGAAAGTTGCGACTTTTTGGGGCCGTCGTCTTTTGTGTCTGGCAATAAACGTCAAAGGAACCTGTGCAGCAGCGGACTAAGGGGAGTTGTGCATGCACACACACAGCCACACAAGCACACACGCACACACACACGCAAGCACACACTACAAATTGAAAATTCTCAAAAAGCGGCAGCTTCATTTTTTTTGTTCGTTGATGTGGCCAAAAATGGTGTACAGCCTTGCCTTGTACGCAGCAGTCCTACGGCTTGTTTCGTTTTTTGGGAGCTGTTTTTTTCTCATTTAATTTTTGTTGCCGTTGTTGTTGTTATTCATTTATCAGGCTGCCGTTTTTGGTGTGCATGCGTCAAGGATGATTTGTTTTAATGCAAAGCCATTGGAGTCAGCAATATGTTGGAATTTCATTTTGCTTAGCCCCCAACTCTGGACGCTTCCCGCTTCCCTTTCCTGACTCATTGTCCGATTCGCTGTATGCCGTTTAGCACCTACAAAATACTTTTTGGTCAAACACAAACATCACAAGTGTGCCGCAGGGTGATTAACGCTGTTCGAAATAAATATGTAGTCTTCACTTGCAATTGTGGATACACCTTTTCGGTCTGTGTAAACCTATCTAAAAGACAAAAATAAACAAATTGGCATTGCTGACTGGCTTTTAGTGGCTTTTGGCTTTTGTATTGCTGTTTGCCGACTGTTTGCCAAACTGAATAATGCTGCTAATGAATGCGCCTCGTCCCGAGTGACCTTACCTAATCAAAACGAAGGGGCTGCGCATCGGGTCAACAAAGCGGCAGCAACATTCACTTTCGCATCGTGCACCTTTAATTGCCCACGGGCCACACAAATCAAAATCAAAACAAGTGTGGTCTAACCGAGGCTGCCAGTCCAAAAGATACCCTGCAGCCAATTCAACAATTGTATGCAAGGTCTTGAAACGCTTTGTTTGGGAGGAATCAAAAAAAACCATATACTTGATCTGTGTATACTTTACGAGAACCTTCATACCAATCGATACACCGCCTAAGCCCACTTTCAATGTGTACAGGGTACAAAAATCAAAACCAAATTCGAAATGTCTGAGACACGACTTAAGCACACAATGTCTTCCAAATGGCGTAATCGCAATGTGTGCGTGTGTGTGTGTGTGCGTGTGTGCTTGATTGTTGAGGCGGCCTGAAAGCAAGCGCTGACTAGCTGTTGATTTAATGGGGTCGCGGTGGGCAGGGTACGGCTGCTATTTAACAAATTGGTTAACCTGATCGCGTTCGATTTGTCAGCCACAGCAGGCTGGCACTGAGATCGCGCATTGCGAGCGGAAGTTGAGCGGTCACTTGAACGGTAAACAGCATTTGACACTGCACAAAGCTTGTGCGGAAGTAAATATGCTTGATAAAAGCACCAATTAGGCCGACAAATTGTATATCGATCACTTCACAGCTGAGCTTGTGTTGGCCCGTTCGAGCTTTCGAGGTGTCAAGTGTCGCCGTTGGCATTGGCAGCTGCAGACTTCAGCTGCAATACGACGCCCTGGGAACGATGCTTGCAGATTTATTTGACCAAAGCTTTGCAGTGATCTACCCTATAAAGTTGAGGTGAACACAGCAAATTTTTCCTTAAAATTGAGACTTGAAAATGAACTCGATGCTGTGAATCCCTCTCACTTATGCCATATAAGGTAACTAGTGTGCAAAATAAAGATTTCAGGTTTTTAATGTTTAGCCAGTTAGTCGGCTAAAACAAACTTGTTACTGGGTATCTTTCAGTTCAAACATTCTAAATTGATTCTTACGTTTTTATTTACTTAAGCCCAGAGCCAATCTGTGTCGCTGGACAGCCGAATGGATCGAACCGATATTAATATTTGGGGCGTGCATGAGGTTAGCCGAAAATGCTTTCAATGAAGTCATTAAATTGATGTATTGACTGCTATATTGGCCGCTGGGCCTGCTTAGCTTTCATCTCGAGCCAATTACGAATTTCCAAGAACTGCGTCTGGCTGCGACTTTCTGGATTCCAGCAAATTTCTCTTGCCTAGCGTCTGCTAGAGGTTATTAATTGTCGTGGTCAGCGTGGGCCGATCCTATGTGATGTCATTGGGCAACCGGAGTCGTCAGGTTTGTTTAATTTGATGGCCGATGGTGACATTGACTGCACTCAAAAAGAGATTCATGCATACAAATGAGACAAATGGAAACTGGGCCGATTACGGCCATGTATTGTTACCTTGTTCCCAGTTCATTTGCCATTAACTATAATGGGCGTCTTATCAAGCGGAATTGCCTGGCTTGCCAATTGTTAAAGAGGACTCATAAAGAAAATTGGTAACGCTTTCATAATGCAATTGGGCCACCATTTGGGACGGGCTGCCATTATGCGCATTACTCAATGCGCCCCCAAAAAAAAGTATCAAGCAATAAAAATAATGTTGAAATTGAGTCACCCAAACGATACATCCATCCGCTCCCCCCCTGGCGCAACCTGCTTTGTATGCCGCGCAACTTTGCGGTCAACAACATTTGACGATATGCTTTGAACCGCATATCAATGAACCCCTCGATCAGCTGAAGACGCTGCTCCCAATAATATTATTATACGAGATACTCACGTGCATACCTATATGTAAATAAATATTTCCGAGCAGACTTTGCCTCTCTATCAATCAATGTGAATACAAATATCGCATTGCCTGGCAGCTAATAATTAGACTGAGATTTCAGCACAAATTTGCATAAATTAAAGCTCAACTATCAGCTACCGCTAGCCCATTGCCTTTAATTACCCGGCAGCGACAGATTTGGCATGAAAGAAAAAAAAACGACATGAAAAAAGTGAAACTCTTGTGGCTTATGCAAGACGG